GTTAGTGCATTATCTCAGAAGATGCGCTGAGGTTAGTGTAGCTTCATTTCCAGTGAATGCACCATCTCAGGTCAGTGAACGGTGCCAGGGCAGCTCATGAAGCTACACAGTTCTCAACCCGGATCCCGTCTTTTTGACGCTGCGCACGCACAGTCCTCCCTTGACTTGAGCCTGTGATTCCCACGCACGTCATACAAATTTAATTTAAAGCTATTTTGAGACTAATAATTTTCCTTTAATATTTTAATAGAGCAGCAGTGCGCGGCTGCCCTATTCTATACTGGTTCCATTGTTTTCCCACCATGTTCCATCAGTTATATAAAACCTTTCTATGTGGGATGGAAGGTTTGTCTACCTAACTGTAGGCCACCTGTAAACCCTACGGTTTACAGGTGGCCTACTACAGGGAAAACCTAACTGGGGAACTGTACTTGGAACACTGCAAGAAGGAAAATGTACTGAGAAAAACTATTGGGGGGAACCTGCAAGGAAAACTATGGGGGGGGGGCATGATTGGAAAACACTAGGTAGGAAAGTGCACAGGCTTGACCCTGCATACGTGTTCCTTCTTTATACGCACCAGTGGCTGTGTATAAAGAGCAACAGTTATTCTTGGACAAGAAATGTGAAGGTGAAATGACACTCGCCAACAATTTAGCTGGGTTGTTGCCTCGGATATGCTTGATCAACCAGGCTGTGTAGGCTCTGGACAGCAATTAGTTGCCCACCATCAACCTAAGCAAAACATTTCATATTACATGTCAGTTGTAATAGTGTGCCCTATTTTTTCAGTAACTTAAGATGGAGTGAGTGTAGTCTGAATATTGGTAAATATATTTGCTGAGCGGCAGCAACTAGGCTCTGCCATTAGCAGCCACAGCCTGGTTGATCAGGCAGTTGACATGGAAGCTTGGTCTCAGACTTGGCTGGGAAGGTACAAGTCCTTCAAAATGGTCACATGCATGTCACTGGCAGTGGGAAGTGAGAACTGGAGATTGCCAAGTAAAGATCTACATAGTAATGTGCCTGAGAACCGCCTCTACAGGGCGAACCTTCACTCACTGGAAGATCGTGTAAATTACTAAGGTTGAAACAAAAACTTACGCTGAATGTGAAGGATGTAACATTTTCAGTCAGTGCTCCTCTTATTTCTGATATTGAATGCAAATCTTAAGGGACTTAAGGTCATTTGTTCTCTGGCGGGGAATAATTAATGCATATTTTATGACATTTATTTTTCACGGGTGGGTCTTGAAGCCAGAAGGTTAATATTGGGAATTCCAGCGTCAGAAGAACATATTTCTGTGATCAGTTTTAGGAGAAACGCTGTGATGGTAAGGTTCTTAAACTCGGCATTAGCTACATTGTGATAACTAAACCATACCACGGGGGGGGGGGGTTGAACCCGCGGTAATGGTTTGTTTGCGATCGTGTCATTGCGATTTCGTGAGTCTTGTGATAACTATGTAGGTCTGCGGCCGCTAGCAACAGCAGTAACCAGGCTGATCAAAAACGAGGAAGTCTGAGCTAATCGAAACAGGTCACACAGCGCTTTTCTCTGTGATAGGTGAATTTGGGGGCGACACAGGCGGGTTTTAATTCGACTGTTATTTGAGAGAAAGACTAGTTACTAATGAGGATTTTTAATGTGTAGGTGTAGCGTGAACCATTGTTCATTTCCACCCCAGCCAGTATTTACGAGGAGAAAGTTCGCATAGCGTGAATGCACAATTTTTTTTATGTCCCAAAGCACGAATGAAATGTCTGGTATATAAACAGAGGAGAAAGTGATGGGTAGTGTGTAAACTAGAGAAAGAGTAGATGATACTTTAACTCACTCAATGGCATCATGGTCAAACTTAGGTTTTTGGTCTTCCAATTTCAAGGACATACAACAGTGTCGCCACACTGGGAATGTATCGCTGAAATGTACTCTCATCTGGACATATTGTTGGGACTAGTAAATGCACACTCTTAGCGTAAGTGCTTGGCGGGTTACTTTGCACCAGTGAAGTTTCCGGATGGGTTCTCGGTACTTTTACCCTTTCCCCGAAAATACAACAAGGGTTATTTGGTCGACTTTATTCATGAAGTAAATGAGAGAGACTTGCAACACTTGAGTATCAATATTGTTGGGGACGTTAAGTCCAACTAGTGGCTTATAACAGACATGGGAGACTTGTAGTAGTAGTTGTGCTACCGCTCCTGATATCGGTTAAGTACGAGGGGAGATAACTGGAAACTCAAGCGACCACTACCCGTTTTTCTCTGGCACCATGAAGAAAGTACGTGGGGGTCACCTGACCTTTGTGCTAATTATCTTAATGTTTCTAATTGACATGACATTGATTGTTAACCTAAACTAATTTGGGGGTTTCAGTGCTGACCCGACCTCATCATTGGAAATTTTTCTAATATTTAAATTAATGACATTTAATTTTTTGATTAAATGTTTTTTGATTACAGCCTTAAGAATTACCTTTGGTTTTTGGGATTTTTAAAATTTCACCTTGAGCTGGGGGGCCGCCAGAGTGGGAAAACTGTCTTGAGCAATTTTCGCAAAAAAAGGATATCTTTTGGTTAAAATTTTTTCCCCCAAGTTACCGCCAAAACAGTTTCATGGGGAAATCTTTTCCAAAGGGGGGCCAGGAGCTGTAAATTTTTTCTTTTTGCAAACGCACCACTACAAGCAACTAGCCAAAGGGGGTTGTGCATATGTAAATCGTTTATATGTGCCCGTTTGAAAGCCCCCACGAAGTCCAAGGGCCCGGGGGGCCCCGGGGGCGATATCTTCGGAGCACTCCCAAATACTGTTTCCCCAAATTCCCGGTCCCTCTGGTCCCCTTTCCCAAACTTTTATAACTTTTCGTTAAAAAAGAGTTAAATTCAAGCAACCACCCTTTTTGCATGTTCGATTTGGGGGTTTTAAAAGTTTGTGCCTCTTAAAAATTTTGGCCCTTTCCCGGGGTCAGTTTTATAGCTCCCGATCCCCCTTTAACTCCGGGCGACTGGGCCCCCCCCATTTTTTCCTTTGGGCCCCTAGAGCCTTACTGGGGATACACAATGAAGCTGGGTAATAGCGTTTTCTGCCACCCCCCGGGATGTAAGCAAGTTTTAGCCCATGTTTCTTGAACCCACCCTGCGTTTCTTTTCCCTCCACATTTAAATTTTTTCAGAACACCCAAGGGGGAAATCCCAAAATTTTTTTACATTTGGGTTCCCTTTTGTATTTAAACGTTTTGTGTTTTGTATCACCTTGTTTTTTGCTTGCTTTAAATAAAATAAAATAAAAAAAATTTTTTACCCGAAATTTAAAAAATCATGTAGTGGTTATCTTTTGAAAGCCTTGGGAAATTGGTTTTTGAGTAACGCTTGAGATAAGCCCCCCCCTTCTGGTATATTTAAATTTTTTAAAAAAATTGGGACACGTTTTATTGTTTCGATGAATCTACAATATTTTTTCCCCCCCAGTTTTTTTTAAACAGTTTTTAAGGGATAAAGGATTAAACATAAAGACATTAAAACCCGGGGCCCGGGGGCGTTGATTTCCCCGGGAAAAAACCTCCCCGGGAACCTCCAGATAGACAGAGGTTTTTGGTCCCTTTTTGTAAACCTTGGTTTAAAATTTTTCAAAAACCCAATCATAATTATGCCACGATCCTGCCCTTTTTTAAAAATTAAGGGGTTTTTTTAAACAAGCCACGAGACATTGGGGAAAATAATAAGATCTGGGAGTGTATAATGGCTTCCTTTTTGATGGAAAATTAAAGCACGCGATGCAAGTGGGCCCCCCACAAGGGAATGCATCCCTTGGGGGGTGGAAGGCTAGCCTTACCCGGGCCCGTATAACTGCAGGCCCTTTTCAACCCCGAAACAGTGCAAATTAAACCTCATTACTTCGTCTGTTTTTACGTTTTTAAACGAGTTTGCCTTAGCATGTCGTCCCCCATGCAGTTAACGCCCGTTTTTAATTGATTTTGGCCCCAAATGGCTAACTGAGAAACTAGCTCCCGAACATTCCTCTTTTGGGGATGGTTTTTTACTTCCCTGCCCTAGAATTAAAAAAAGAAATTGAAGCCAAATTTTAAACCCAGCTACCAGCTGTAAATAATAACTATAAAAATATTTTTTGTTCATCATTTTTTCTCTCTTAATCAAGTTTAATCACTATAACCATTTAAAATGGGAAAAAAAAAATTTTGTCTTGGGAAAATATCGTTAAAATTATGATTATTAATAAAGAGTTGGTAAGAATGTAATTCCCAGGGAATTGTATCGGGGTGTTTCGGTAATTCCCGTGTTTGGATGTTCTGATCTGATTTTAAAAAAATACCTTTCACAGTTTTTTACTTAATTTTGACCCTGGAGATTGTATAAATTTTTTTTTTCCCAAGAAAACTTACGAAAAAAAAAATAAAAATTTTTTTTAGGTAAAGGGAAATAAGTATAAGCATATTTTGAAAATGCCCGGGGGAGAAAGGAAAAAAACAGGGAGCAGATTTGTATACTTTTTGGAAAGGCCCAAAATATTTTCTGGCAAAAACCCTTTTTGCTTTTGAAAGGCCCCGTCAAGGGGCACCTAATTTCCCGGGCACCGCGAGCCTCCACTTAAGGCCCAAAAACCCAAACAAATTGTAGGGGTTTTTTTAGCCCACTTTTGGGTTTTTCATACGAGATAATTTAAACATTAAAAAACGGTATTAAATAGGGAGCAGTGAAACTTACCTAGGGCAGTCCAAACCCCCCGCCCTAAGTCAGTTGAAAAAGTGACGGGTTTTGGGTTTAAACCCAAGATATCCATTCCTCTCCCCGGGAAGTTTTAACAAAATTTTTAAGTAATTTTTTTTATTTTGCATAAAACAACCTGGGGAAAAACCCAACCCTTTTTATAAATATTTTAAAATTTTTTTCAAAACCCTGGGGTGCGGGAAACATCAAGTATGCATGTGAATCACCGCTTCACTTCACACTCACCAAGTTCTTGAGTTCATCAAGCCTCT